AACAACAACAACAACAACAACAACAACAACAACAATAACAACAACAACAAGCGGAAGAACTAGAAGAACAAGAAGAAGAAAAACAAGACGAAGAAGATATATAAATTATACCAAACACTTATTCTGTTTTTTTATTCTTTGCTTTCCTCAGCTGCAAAGACTTCAAAGAAGGAAAGCAGCAAAGGTGAGATATTTGTACTTGGGACTCTTTTAACAACCAGTTAACTCACTTTACTTCTAAGCATGTTTGTGCTCGTCAACCTTTTTAATGACCAGCGCATACATCTGCCACCTTTAGAAAGGTAATATTTTTTAACTGCCCACTTACATGTAGATTTATTTCTAAACGTGGCATTAAAAAAAACAACATCGCTACCTTAGAATTAAAAAGTTCTCTCTGGCATTTTTGACCGCTTAAGTTCTGAAGACCATGAGGTCAGAAACGAAATGTGCTTTATCAAAATCGTAAGATTATTCGGAGTCGTTATCAATATATTGAAAGAACTGCATTCGAAAAGGCTTGACATGTTGTGAGACTGAAAACTTTTTTACGTCAAATTTCTCAAAACTTGGTAGTTTATGACAGAAATTGAAATTCTGAGGTAGCGACATGTCAGTGTCCGGGAGATTCCCACCCTCAACCAAAAATTACCAAATCGCTCAGTTAAAATAACATTTATTATATATAATATATATTTTATCGAAACACAAAAGTCAGTTATTGCAAGTTTGAGTTTGCGTAGGTGTTTTACGACACTACCGACTCAGATTTGGTAATTAAGGCAAGGCAGAAAATGAAATTTCTACGAAAACAATAGAAAAGGTAAAGAAGTTGGCTGTTAAAACCAATGCAAGGAACTCATAACTTCTATTAGCTATAATGATGTGGCCGTCCTTTAGAACTGTCACCAGCTTCCCTCGTGCTGCATACCACCCAAAAAGAGTGGCACGCCACACGCAGTGTTCTGGCATAACATACGGACATGGTTCAGTTGAGTACAAAGAGAACCACATCGACACAATGAAGTAAGTAAGACAAACAAAAAATAATTTTGAAATTGTATACAGTGGCAGTGGGTGAATCATTAATGTGGGTGGGGGCTAAGAAATGAGGGTAGGTTGAGTTCAAAGGTAAGATTTTCTCGGTTCAGAGGAGATTCTAGATCTAGATATCTGTGAGTATTATGTTAGTTTGTGTAGCCTCTGTTCGTGCATGCGTGCGTGTGTGTTACACACTCACAAACAGACATACAAGAGTAACTGGATTTGGCTGTGAATCTACCAAGCTGGTATTCTAGACTAAACTTGGACATTAATGAGTACCCATGAAGGCGTGTGTGAGCCATACAGGAGTCCAAACCAAATTCGGAGACAAAATTCGGAGACTGTCTTCCCCGTCAGTGAAACGTCTGGGCTTGTCGGCACATAGAATAAGAATTCCTGCCGTATCTAAACTGAAAAAAAAGAGTTATACTTCAAAAGAGAAACAAAAAATACAATGTTAAAACAGCCACTTCACCGTATCACAGACTGTGCGCAAGTGACAAGAGCAAGAATCATGAGGTCAATGCCCGGATGTCGCTCTAGCGCACAACACAATAACTGGCCAATCGTAACATTCTTTTTCTTTCACATGTTATAAGAAACTACCAGATATGTTATAGGTTATAATAATCAATAATATTTTTTAAACTTAAGACGAAAGAGTGAGGGGTGAAGCCTTTTGGGGTTAACTACGTCGAATAGAGCCTGGCTGGCAGGTCTGAGCGACATATTGTTCTCTTAATAATGTTAAAACAACATAAATAAACTAATACAATGTAAATCTTGATCTTGCGTGTGCAAGAAGCACGTGCGTCCCCTTTCTCACAAGCTCAAAAAAGGTATGGTCTTCCACAGAAGTGATATCCAGTTCTGATAGGAGCCAACCGATTTACCTGACAAATTATTTAAAAAATCAAAGTTGGAGGGATTTGAGGGGGAGGGGCAAAGAAGACATTTTCAAAATTATGTAAATAATAGCACCAGAACAATGGTTAGATCTAGTTGAAATATTGTAGCCCTTGCACGTACCTTATTGAAGAAACATGGCCCGACTAAAGTTGTGAACAGGATAAATGTAGTCACCAGTGAGTCGACCTAGTTGGTATTCCAGACTTTACGTGGACAAATTATGAGTACTCACGCGGGTGTGTGCATGAACCAAAGAGATAGAGTCTAAATCTATCAGCTACGTACCCGGCGAAAAATAATATCTAGATCTGTCATTTTCCCTCTCTTTATGAGGTGAGAAAAGTGGTAACCTTCAGCAAAAATTAAACGCTTTCACAATTTCATCACGTTAAAAAAGAAGAATCAAAACTTCATCAGACCACAAACGGTGTGCACGTGGCAAGTCGTGCCAGAAACATGGGATGAGTGTCTGAATGTAATGCGACACAATAGTTTTATTGACCATACGTAGCTTTCTGTTTCCTGTATGGTAAACAACTACTATTGTTGCCGTGAGTTCATTTTCTTTTTTTACTTAAAAAAATAATAAAATGGAACACGGAACGTTGGAGAGCTTCTGGGCTTACAGGGTCGAATGAAGCGTGATTTCATGGTTTTAGCGATGAATTTTAGAATATAAATGCAATTTAAAAAATAACAAATTATAGCGTGTGGAAGAAATCACAAACTGTAAATAAGTGAAAATGTTAAACGGCGTGCATATCATGCGTTTGTTAATAAAGATAGACAAACAGAGAGAGCGAGAGAGAGAGAGAGAGAGAGAGAGAGAGAGAGAGAGAGAGAGAGAGAGAGAGAGAGAGAGAGAGAGAGAGAGAGAGAGAGAGAGAGAGAGAGAGAGAGAGAGAGAGAGAGAGATTGAGGGGGGGGGGGAGACAGAGCGACGAGACAGACATTACAGGCATATAAAATAATAACAATAGCTACGTGATGCACCTTGAGCTGTACATTTGCACGCAATGTGAAATTTGTAGTGAATTACAAGGTAAAGCCTACGTGTAATAAGCATTAGTTTCACCTTGAATCAAGATGTCACTTTATTTCCTGAAAACGCATTCGAGACAACCTTAGAAATGTTGAAATTCTGAATATTAAAGATCATTCGTGCATTTGTATTAAATCCCAACTTGTGCCTGGAAAGCCCGCAGCCTCTCCCTTGCTGGAAAGTGATGCTCAGAAGTGAAAATCAAATTTAATGCTTTCCCGAATACATTAAATGGGTTCTTTGGTAGAGAAATATTGAATTATTGTATATTGCTCCTCCGAAAGATAGCCAAATTTTTATGATAATCGAGTGTCATTCGTACGCCACAGGGTCACTGGCGTTGAAGTGGCGTCGGTAGCCAAGTGGTTGGACTACCGGACACGTAATCATGAGATTGCGGGTTCGGGAGTTCGAACACCAGCTCGGTCCTACATTGTGTCCTTGGGAAAGGCAATTTACACGACATTCCCACTTGTCTCGGTCCTTTCGGAGATGGACGATAAAATAGGAGGTCCCACCTCGTAAATGACCTAACACTGTTGAAAGGGGCGTTAAACCTATACTATTTCACCATTTTCAGTGGCGCTGACTAGGTAAATGTTTCTTGTTCCTACTATTTCTTCCGCAGTCCTCTTTTCCGTAAACGGTAGCACATTGACCGTAAAAAAACAACAACAAAATCTAGCGCCTTCAGAAGGATCTATCTGGTCGTAAAAGACGAATGAAAACAAGATTAAGCCAGTCCACTTGAGAGTCTACCGTTATGTTTCAGTTTTACTTTTACGGCTCACCACTACCGAACCAGTCAGACATTTTTGTTTATCTTGGTTTCCTCGAATGCGCGGGACACATTACACTATTTATGTTTTGTAGACATTTTGAATTTTGTACGGGTGGTTGCCGAAGCCTATCTTATAGATTTTGGAACCACTTGGCACAATTTGCCCAAGGGACCCTGGGTTTTTTCGTCCTTTTCCGAGAAGGCTAGGTGTTAGATCTTACCTACCCAAAGACCAGGGATGTGTCTGAAAGACAGCAATAAGAAGGAGCCAAGGGTTAGCAGTAGAAAGGTAGCAGAAAATTCTAGGGGCCCAGAGGAAGGGGAGGGGGTTGCAGAAAGTGGAGACGAAAGCAAACAACAGATTATGATTAGAGAGCATTCATTGTTCATTCATTGTTTCAGGAAACAATATCCTTGCATTCTGGACACGTCCATTGATGCTCCGTTGCTCTCTCTAAAATTCGGGTGAGGGTCTTTCTACTGATTGTGCCGCTGCATATCTGGTTGAACGTTCTTCATTTCTTTGTTTCAAGGGTGCCAGATTTTCCGCTTCCTTTCTGTACTCCTAAAACCATCATCCTCTTCACCACGGTAGTGGCCTCTGCATCCTTATCTTCCTCTTCAATCAGGTGGCGAGAAAGACATTTTTGGATCTCGACCTTTTCTGGTTGAACCGTGCTATCCACTGAGGTGGCCTCACCAGTCAGTCTGTCGACTTTTTCATATCCTTAAACGCCTGCATGGCCAAGGCAGAAAATCTATGTGAGCGGTCTTATTGGCGTTGCTTCGATCAGTTGAAACCATTAACTCTGGTCTCTGGAAAACTCTTTCGATCTTTCGGGGGGTAAACATGGAATCTGTGATGAGAACAGCATGGGTTGTGTGGAAGCGATCTTGGGTCATCCTTTCAAGGGCTTTTGTGACAGCTTTATTTTTCCATTCGCATACTTGATGTAGCCCTGCTGCAGGCTCCAGATGCACTGTGGATGATTTTATTTTTGACGAATACAACAAATCCCTATCCACTTCGCTGGCTAATTTTTTTCACTGAGCCATCTGTATAAATTACAGGATCCCCTGCTTTTGAGTTTTTGTCTACAATTTCGTTGATATCACTCTCGTTGTTAGAAGCCGAAACATTTCTTCTGTCTCTGCCAATGCTTATTTGATTATTTGATTAGAATGCAGGAATGATGAAAGAAGAACATTTTTTTTAAAAGAAGAGAATTTTCGGTCACTGTCAGGTCTCAAACCCCGGTCCTATTGAATGAGAGGCGAACCCCGTACTTCTAGACTATGAGACCCCCCCCCCCCCCCCTCCTTTTTTGACGCGGTACCAGCACTGGCTGAGTCTAAAAAATGTTCCATTGGCGATCTACTTGCCTACTACGACAAACAACTAAGGCTCTAACATAGACCTCAGAAATAAACCATCTCCTCAAGCTTAAAGTTCAACTTAACTTAAACCCTAGCCCTAATCTCAACCTTAACCCTAACCAATTGACACACCATACAGACACTGAGGTCTGTCGGGGAGACCTTCAAGTGCACTGGCATCAATGAGACTAGGTGCTAGTAAGAAAATTTCTCTGACGCAAGATATACATCAAACTAACATAATCATAAACACAAAGCACAAACACTATCGGAATAGGAAAGCACAACAGTGCCCACGTGGGAAGGATGACAGGTTTAATACCTCTTTTGGTCCAAATTGATTCACCACAACCACAGAATGAACTTTTGGTGGATCTCTTCGTTAACTTTTGATAAAGGTCTTACTGACACGGGCGTGGACAAACTCTTCGGATCATGGGTCACTTCTACCGGGAATGAACAGCCCTTTTATTTGTGGATTGGGAGCGCTAGTTACTTTTTAAAAATTGAAAAAAAAACAACAACAAAATATCAACCGCATTAGCCACCTATAATGAAAATTTCAATAAAATAATATCAGAATTGTTTTAATTAAGCAAACAGTACACGTTTCTTTAAATTACACAACGATATCAAGTTGTTTGTGACTCTAGTATTTTGTCAAATGTGACCATTTTTGCGGAAATTCATTCATTTCCATAAAAAAAAAATCGACGAATACTTCAATTGGCGGTGCTCACCCAGTCTTGATAAAGAGCCACGTTTGGGTAGCAGGCCGTAACTTTCCCACCCGTGATCTTAACATTTTGAAAGAGTATATCTGGTGGCTGAAACCGGATTTTAGTTCACGGTTATTTTTACATGTATACTTTTTTCCTTTTGTGAACGAGATCATATTTTTTATCCTATGAACTACTTTAAAGTGAATTAAAATCATTATAACATTGCTTTCGGCCTTTTGGGGAAGGTAGATATTCTTAGCCCCCATCGCCATAATTTAGATCATACAGCAGGCTGGATGCGATCCTTTCTGCAAGGGGCAACCCAGACTGAGGGGTATACAACATCCCATCAGAAATATCGAGATACACAATACAAATTCTAACCCCTCTGGAATCGAACTCGGATTTCCTTCATGCGACTGCAAAGCGCCTAACCACAACACAACTGATACCAATGCACATAAAGGCCAAAGCCTTATATTTTGATTTTGAACGCAAACCATGGTAGGGGCCGAAATCAATCAACATGTTCACTTTGAACAAGAAAATCTTGTTTATTCTACAAATATACAAAAGTGAAGTCAGTCAAAAAGGAGCATACATGTATCCACTCTATTCACTTCGACTCGATGGAGAGTGGCAAAAGTATGCTTGTTCTAATAATAATATATTATCGGATATTAGAATACAAAATGATTATCATTTTCTTCTTCTTCAGGTGCCCCTGGAGCAAACATTGACCCCCCCCCCCCCCCCCACAAACCGGGGCAGTGCTACAGACTGAAATTGTCTTTAGCCATTTCCAAAGGGGGGGGGGGGGTTATTAACATGTTTTTATGTACAGTAGAGCTGTAAATGAGCTGATTTATCAATGTCATGCTCATACTGTGCCGGAACAACATAGGGGGAACTGCTGCTTTTCCCTTCCTCATCTTTACTATCGTCATTTTCCCCCTACTTCTTTTGTAATAGTGTCACTTTTTTGTGAACTGCTATTTCCCGTGTGCCTTGATAGTCGAAGCAGACTGTGTGCCGTTGAAGTTGGAGAGGTGATCAGAGTAAGCCTGATTCCCCCTTTGGACTTCTCTGTTGACATCCACCCTTTGGCGCTCATAATATGACCTTATGCAGTTGTGAGCGCCGTAAAATGAATAAAACATTGACGATCATGGTACACCATTCCTTCCTGTTGTCTGTCTTCTTGATCTGCTCCGTTTTTCTCTTTGTGTTATTCTTTGCAAAGTTGTTCAGGCCAGCTATGTATTATGATTTTGTGTGTCTTCCATTGCTCTTTCTTTCCTCTATCTTTTCACACAATAGCAGTTCCTCCAGTACATTTGGGCTGTTTACGTGGCTAAATAATCTCAGTTGTTTTTTTGGGGGTTTTGATTATAGATCTTTCACATCCTGCCATTTGAAGCACTTCTCTAGATCTATTTGTTTTCCTCTCTGTCTATGAAAGTATTCTGTGATTTGCTAGTCGCCGATAGCTCTGTTTCGCACCACTTGTGAACGCCTTCAAAGGCGATACTCCCACTTCGCATCTCTAGCCTATCATGGACAACCCAGACTTGGATGAGGAGGCGGATCAGGTAGAGCTAGATCTACATCTTTGCTTTTGTAAAAGGTTTAAATTAACCAAGAAAACAGTCTCAAAAGTGGATTATGTCTCCGGAGGAGGAGTTCTGTGTACATTCTCAAATTCCACGACCACTGTTTTACAGTTTTAGGAACCTGAGACCACCAGCCCACCATCCAATCTTACGCCATCTCCGATCCCCCACCTTTCGGGGTTGAAAAAATAATGAGCCTAGCCTGCATACCAAGATTTTTTTTCTCTATTTGTTGTAAACCAACTTATGCTCCTCGTTGAGCCTTTCATAATTATTAATGCTTTGGCTACGCCTTCGAGATCAACATGTCTACCCTGGAATGGTTTGAAAGGTTTGCCTCGACTTCAAATAATGAAAAATTATACTCTGAAAGAGAAAGTTTATGCAAAGTTTTTGAAAAGAAACACAATTTGTATAACGCAAATTTCAGCTCAACATCAAGTTTGGTACATTTTACAATCTATATCTCAACTGACGCAGACCCATTTGAAACATTCTCAATTTCCTGTGAAGCATACAATGCAAGCTGCCTTTTTACAAGCTTTTTGAACACACTGACAAGATAGTTCGCTGTCTATGGCCAGGTACCCATTCACAATTGAGGGAAGTGAGGAAATTCCCCCTCAGTGCCTTTCTCAAGGATACAATAATATTATTATTTTGATCTGGTCGGTTTCGCAACCTCAAGACTGTCAAGACTACAAGTCAACCCAGTAACCTAACGATTTTAAAAAAAATTGGATTTGTAAAATAGAGCAGTGGGGGCGGGTAGGGTGTCTCTGGCAGGCTTTACACTTTTGTCACTCCTGCTTTTGGTAGGAGTGAAGTATCCACCCCCACCCCACCCCAACCCCTCCCATCTTGACATTCACTCTACTTCTCAGCGGATCATCAAGTAATCAGCCTGCTGTTTCTCAATCTAATAAGACGACTGCACCGGCGCCGATTTGGCTCTTCATTGTCGCATACAGGAGACCTTAGTTCAGTTCCCAGGGGGGGGGGGGGAGAAAAAATATCGATGATCTCAGTCTTTCTGCTGGAATCATATCCCTCTCAGACCGGGTTGTTCCTGACAGGCGGAGTCGGAAGCGCAACTCCTAAATCATCTAAATTGTTTGGATGAGGGCGAAAAAACACCTTCATTTAATTTAAAGAATAAACATGACTGCTGCAGGACCCACCTGCAAAACCTTTTTGGACCCAGAGTGTTGCGCACTATAGATTTGATTAGCTTAAATAGTTTGAAATTGAGAGTTATACTTTAAATTTGCTTTGCTTTATTATAGTACACGTTTTAATGATCGGGGCTCTACGTTTGCTCAGTTAGTATTAGGCTGGACTGCGAAATGTATGGCATTGGTTCCAATCCCCAACGGCATGTTCTGAACTTGGGTTCTTTCGTGGAGTTTTTAAGGCTATTCACCTATTTGGCTTGGTCCTATCGGGGATGGATCTTAAATTTATAGGCACTGCCCCTTGAATAACCTGATTAATGATGTGTCCTGTCCTATATCCATGCAAATCTGATTTGTTTCCCTCAGAAAAATGCCCCTGCGGATGAGGAGGTGGGGACGAAGTACAACGCTCTCTTCTACCCCGGAGAATTCTTCATCTTCTGGAACGTTCTGGTTCCCCTCAGCGTTCTCCTCAACATCCGCCATTTCGGCCTGCGCGCGCATGAGCTTGGGCTCGCTGTGGCCTTGGCCTTGAACCCGTACCTTTTGAAGTTTGTCTTACATGTGGGTGATATGCAATCCTAAGCAAAGGAAGATTTCTACTTTGAACC